GGAAGCAATCACTGTGCTTCCCTTCCATGAGTGCAGGGTCTGCAGTTCTGTCTATCCTTACAAAGGGAGGTAAGGCTCATGGCTCCATCCCCTATTCCATGTAGTTGTGTAAAGGCCAGGCAGAACTGATGATGCCTTTGTTGGTATGGCTGTGCCCTTCCCACATCCTTTATCTGGCTTGACTATTTAGGGCCCAATTCTAACACCCTTACTCAAGTTGATTAGTCTGCATATAGTCCCCTTGACGTCAGTTGGACTATTCACACAGTAAGGTATTACTGGACTTGAGTAAGGATACTTTGGATTTTAAGCTCTTCCAGGCAGCGATCACGTCTTCTCTGTGGTCTGAGACATCTGGCACACTTTTTGGTACAGGATAAATAAATAACAACAGCAACCTTGCCAGAGCCTCTAGATTTTGAACTACCAAACTCATTCTATTTGTGACTAAGTCAGGTTTTGCACCTAGATCTTTAGCGGTGTAGGGGAAATGATTTAACCAATGTACCTCCTAGCCCTAGGCATATGTTAATTGTTAACTTCATTCTGCATCTCCATCTCAGCTCTCTTTATTTTAAGACCCACATTGGTGTGAAATGTAGTAACTATGATGACTGAATTTCATCCACATAGGAACTGTATATATGATGTGGCTGAAAAACTCTTTAGAAATTTTAGTCCAGGTGTTTAGGGCAGCACGGCGACACCTGGATACATAACAGATCTTGAATGAGACTGTGCTTAGCCCCTGGAGAGAAGGAAAGTCAATGATGGACGTGCAGTTGCTGCAGAGCCTCCTTTCTGATCACATACTGGAATGGTGGCCAATAGCTCATTAAGGAGACTATCTGTACCTGAAAGTGAAGATAGCTGGAGTGAAACATGGCGGGATTTACAAGTGTTAAGAGGCTATGAAGACTGGAATAATTTAGCATGGACAGAAGAGAAAGGAGTGTCTTGATTTATAAACTCTAACTAATGAAGGTCATAAGGCCTCTGTTCAGATGCTCCTTCTTGCTCTATTCCATAAAACAAGAGCAAAGGGATGCAGAACTGAAAGGTATTAAATTTAAAACTAATAAAAAGAGATACTTGTTTATGAAGCATATAGTCAACCTGTGAAATTCATTGCCTCTAAGTTCATGAGATAAATTATTTAATAGCATATTTTAAAATACCAGATACTTGTATAAGATTCAATAACACTTACTGTAATCCTAGATAAAAACAATGATACAATGGATATGAAACCTCAATTTTCCACGTATTTTGTTATGACCAAATCAACTGCAGGATGTTGGAAATGAATTCCTCACAAACAGAGTTCCACAAATATCCTGGTGTATTATGGGGATATTCATTTTTCTTTGAAGCATCTGACATAGGCCACTGCCAGAATCAGATTACTGGATTTGATGGAACAACAGCTTATTTGTGTGTCTCTTACATTCAAAGACACACAGACTGATTCTCCTCTCTTTTACACTGGTTTTACATTGGCGGGAGTCCCCAGACTTCAAAGGACTAAGTGCTGATTTGCACTGATATGAGAAGATAATTAGGCTCCCACAGTGTTTAATGACAATCACAAGGGTTAGATTACTTCTCTATGCATGCTGTGCAAGGCAAGGTGGGCGGAGCAGGGGAAGGTCCTTACTCCCTCCCCCACATCCACTATGCGCTGTCATAAGGGCTAAGCAGTCTCTAGTCCAAATCAATACAGTAAGTAAACTTCTACAGAGGTATCTCTGGCAGCCAGAGTGCCTAGTGCAGGTCCTTTGTCAGTTAGGGTCCAATTCTACAACAGTGACCCACATTAAAGTAATATCTTACTATAGAAGTAGTTCCACTGATCTTAGCAGAACTGAGGGGGGACGGATAGCTCAGTGGTTTGAGCATTGGCCTGCTAAACACAGCCTTGTGAGCTCAATCCTTGAGGGGGCCATTGGGGATTTAGTTCGGGATTGGTCCTGCTTTGAGCAAGGAATTGGACTAGATGACATCCTAAGGTCCCTTCCAACCCTGATATTCTATGATCATGTATTAAGTCATTGCCCAAGATGAGTAAGGGTAGCAGAATTGCACACTTAATACTCCAAGCACATGGTCCTCAAGCCCCTAAAACTTCCTTAAGAGCACTAGGCTGGGAATGAAGAGACCTGGTTTTAAAATTCCCAGCTCTGCCAGTGCTTTGCTAGATGATCTTAACTTCCCTGTGTCTCAGTTTCCCAATCTGTAAAATGGGTATAATGATACTGACCTCCTTTGTAAAACACTTTGAGATCTGTGGATGAAAAGTTCTATATAGGGCTAGTTATTGATTTATTTGAATACCAGTTGTGTTTGATCTTTGAGTAAGAAATGTCCATATTAGATGTTTTAACTGTCAACTGGAATGAACTGTAGTTTGAATTAAAATTAATTATAAAATATTTATAAAACTTAAGGTATTTATTTGCTTTATTTAGGGTCAAGTTGTATTCAGAAATGGAGAGAGAATGGGAACCATCAAATTTACACAGTTTCAAGGTAGGCTATGGATGTTTATTGCCTTTAATTTACATTATGATCATGTCTGGTACTGCAAACTTGTGTGACTGAGTTGTATTTGCCTCAGAGTAGCCTGAAGACATACAGCCATTTGAAAATAAATAAACTATATAAAGGAATATGAAGTAACAAGTGCCCAGAAATAATGGACTTTTCTTTCTCTTTGAGAAAAATTGTATTGTTATACTTTGCTTGCACTAAGCATCACTGAGCATCTAATATTCATCATCAACCAGAGATTTAAAACAAGCAAAGAGCTATTGAAAAGCTGTGCTAAAGAGCAGAAATATTGAGTGTTAAATGCAGTCCTTTCTGAACAATAAGGCAGGTTTAGAACTTAGAAAGATGGAATAGTTGTTCTCACCAGTTTTTTTAGTGCAGTTTGTTGTAGCTGTGTTGGTCCTAGGATATTAGAGAGACAAGCTGGATGAGGTAATAATTTTTATTGGACCAACTTCCATCATTTGTCTCTCTCACCAACAACAGTTGGTCCAGTAAAAGATATTATCTCACCCACCCTGTATCTCAGCTCTTTTAACTCCGTGCTGGCATTCTCTACAGGCTAACCGTGAGATTTAGCTACAGCCCTGTACTGGGAGGCCAGTTCAGGAGACAATCTCCCCCAGGGAGGCAGAACACCTGTTGGAGAGTCTCAGGTATAGATTCACAAAAGGACTTGAGCACCTAGCTGCCACTTTAGGCACCTAAATCCTAGAATCAGGCCCCACTAGGATTCACAAAACCCCCACTTAGCTGCCCCCAGCTCTGTAGGCACCTAAAATTGCTCAGCTTCAGCCCCTGAATTTTTGCATAAAAGCTTTTTGTCATAGATTCCAAGGCCAGAAGGGACCATGATGATCATCTAGTCTGAGTTCCTGTATAACACAGGCCATAGAACTTCCCCAAAATAATTCCTAAAGCATGTCTTTTTTAAAAAAAAATCCAAACTTGATTTAAAAATTGTCAGTTATGGAGAATCCAGCATGACCCTGGGCAAATTGTTCCAATGATTCCAAAAGTTCCCTAGACACCTACATTCCTGCCTCTAAGCATGCAAACTGCAGCCCCACGCCAGGGCTCTGGACACCAAAGCCCAAGAGCAATGCACGAACCAGGGGAACAGGGGCATTCCTCCGCCAAACTTACCTGCAGAACCCAATCCAGTAAGTGTGTTTACACCTCATCTACCAGAACAGGTCCCTATAGTTGAATTCACATAAAAACAGCCAGAGGAGGACAACCTCCCTCCAACTTCTAGCCCAGTGGTTTGGATACTCATGTGAGATGTGGAAGCCCCCCCCTCCACCTGAGGGGGAAAAGGGGTTTGAAGTGGGACCTGCAACTTCTTAGGTGAGTGCCCTAAGCACTGGGCTATGCTCCCTCACTCTCTCCTATTGAAGCTGTTCCATTGTGGATAATAAATAAAACAAAGTCGTTAGAGCAAGGAGATTGGATCCTCGCTCTCCTACATGAGTATTCTAATCAACAGGCTACAGTATCATTCTCATGCTTGCTCTCTTTCTCTCTAGCCCAGTGATTCCTTTGTTATTTATCCACAGTGAAACAGCTTCACCAGGAGAGACTGAGAGAGCTACATATCAGAATATCCCTAACTCTGTGGTTAGGACATTCAACTGAGAGGTAGTAGATTCTCAGCTCAAATTCCTTCTTTTCCTCAGGTGGCAGAGGGATTTGACCAGGGTGTCTCCCAGATCCCTGAACACTGAGCGAAGAGTTATGAGGGACCTAGTCATTCTCCTGCGCCTTATCCACCCCCCAGCTGCTTCTTGCTAAAACAGCACAGGTGCTTATGTAACCCACACACCTTCTGGGTGTGGTGGTCTGTCCCATCTAGTGGCACCGAGACCACTTAGAGACAGAGAGATAAAGTGAGTCTGCTCTACAGCCTTAGCTAACAGTCAGTTGGCTTTTAGCTCATGTAGTAGAGGCTCATGCTTTAACTTCCCGAGGTCCCTGGTTTGATCCCGCCTGCCACCGACCAGGGTCTGTTGGTGTTACACTTAACTGCAAGAAGGGATTTGCAGCTGAGAATCCAAGCAGAGTTAGATGCCTCTGTTCAGCCCAGACTTAGATGCCTGTCTCTGAGAGGAGTGGGACTTAGTACACACCTGTCAGCTTGGCATCTCCCATTGGCTTTTTTAGATGAAGCATTGTTTAGTCGCCTGGCATTTGTGACTGCTTTTCTCCCCATTCATTGTACAGGGAGCCTAGGCACTGAACTCAGGTGATTTTCTAGGCACCTAAAAGTTATGCATGACAATGCTGCTCATCATCATATCCAAGTTCCTTTGTGAATCTAGCCCTCAGTGTACAAGCATACACGCTGCTATATGTGAGGCAATGAGTCATTGCTGTGCTAGGCTCCAGCCAATCCACAAGCCAGGAGCTGGTCTGATGACTCTCCAGGCAGGTATATACGTCTCACAGGTAAAACAGCAGCTCAGTCTGCCTAATGTCACTTCATGACTTGGACCCCTCCCCTGCCTGATAGGGGTGACCCACTCCACAGGCCTTAGCCTGCTCCTGCCTTGCTCCCACTCTAGCCTTGTTTCCAATCCTCCTCCTGCTCTAGCTTCCAGCACTACTATTGCTTTATTGAGAGCCTGCTGTTTATTCCAGTGCTGATCTTTGGTTCTGGCTCCTGGCCGGGCTACCACCACACTGACCACTAGACCCAACTGCCATCACTCCAGCCACCAGCTCTGATCCTCCATATCTCAGTTTCTGAACGATACCCCTTCATGGAGTGCAGCATATTCCCCCAATGTGACTGTCCAATTCTGCTGGCTCCTTTCATGCTGGGGGCATCCTGGGGAGAAGCATCTCAGTAGCACAGGGGCTGCAAAACTAGCCCCACCCTCACTCCCTCCTCCCTACCCCATGATTCAAAGCTGTGTAAGGGGACTAGCTATGATCTGGCACTATATCATCTTATAGTACAGCTAGTTGCAACACTGTCTATGTATAAATAACATGTCATACTTTTGATCTGTGGTATCTAGTGCAATGAATATCTGATATATCCAGTTTATAGTGAGGGTGAGGCTCAGGTGGGCCATGGCTGCATAAGATGATGGTTTTCTGAGGACAGTGGTGAGATGATAGCTGGCAAATCCCTTTCAAATAATGCTTAGGAAAGAAAGAGTGACATTCTCACCAAGTTTAGAAGACTATTCCAAATGTAATTCTGCTGGTCAACGTGGCAAAGGCTTGTCCTTCAAGCAGTAGGTCTACGCAATATAGGCATTAACTCTCAACTCTACCTTTGAATGGGTCTGTTACCCATAATAACCATTTGCACCTTTCATGACAGCAACCATTTTTTCAGACTGGTCATGCTATCACACTTTGGACTGACGCTGTTAGCTAAACTTACCTCCCCACAAACATTTCCACCCTGTTAAAACCTGCCTACAAGGATCATGCCTCCCCGCCCCGGGACATGACAAAGTTTTTTCCCCTCAACATTAATGATAAAGAAATGCTGATTTTCTTCAGGCAGCTCTTGATTTCTGGGTTGACAGCCAAGAGAAAAGAAATATAAAAGTAGTGCCAATGGGTTTTGATTAGAGTTGGTTAATCCTCAGAAGCTTGGAGGGTTCTGTATGGATTATGCTTGGAGGCAGCTGAGCCCCAACTGCATGCAGGAAAGAAGGATATGTGAAGGATCCTCTCCGTATGGGGACCTTAAGAGTACGGAGTCCGAGGAGAAGGAAAAGGATATTTCTTCAGAACTGGTTTAGAGAAGCTGGTGAAGTTCTGGCCATATTATTTTTTTAATAAAATTGTTTTATCTTAAGAATTCTTGGATTTTTAAAGTTAAACTTAAGCGATTACCTTCATTTTTCACCATCAATGATATTTAATATGCAAAGGTTCTGCTGTATACTCAGATGCTCTGTATTCAACTTATTTTTAGCCAGTCAGGACCCAGGAGTCAAAGGTGACCATTTTACAATTCTTGGCAAGCACTGGATTTCTATCTCAGAGATCATTCAATTCTACATCCTTGGGTGGCCATTAACCAATTTTTTTGTAGCACAGCTCATTTCACTATAACATAGGTCCATGTAGACATGCAGTTTGTTTACTGCTTTAGGGAAAAAAGGCTAGATTAAATCAAATGCAAATGCTATTTATTTAGCACATTTATATTCAATTCTCAATTGCTTGTGTCCCTTCCTTAGTAACTTTGCAAATGGAGTGCAGGAGGCAGTGTATAGAATTTAAATAAGGAAAAAAAATGTGTTATTTTAACTGAGAAGAGGCTGGCTAGCTTGCTATAAATGACCCCCAAACCATCAGCAAACAGATTTGTTTCTCTTTTTTATTATACTTTCAATATTACAGTATAATATCAATACAAATCCACAGGATTAGATATCTTCTACTAAAGATATTAAAAAGTTGGTCAAGAAGCTCTCTGAAACATTGATATTAATTTTTAAACAGATATTGGAATACTAGGGAAGTTCCAGAGGACTGAAAGAAGGTTAATTTTAGTGCCAGTGTTTAAAAAGTGTAAATGGGTTATCCTGGATAATTATATACCTGTTAACTTGACAGATCCTGGGCAAAATAAAATTGATCCACTGAGACTCAATCATTAAAGAATTAAATTTTGTGAATATAATTAATGCCAATCACCATGACTGTGTGGAAAATTGATCTAACTGAATATTTTTTTAAAGTGGGATTACAAATTTGGTTGATAAGTTAAATTTTGATGTTATATACTTGGACTTCTGTAGGGCATTGGACTCAGTACCACAGAACATTCATATTAAAAATGAGCACCATACAAAATCAATATAGCACATATTAATGGATGAGTAGCTAGCTAACTTATAGATCACAAAACAGTTGTTAGAGTGGAATCATCAGTTAATTGGTACCAGGGCCGGCTCCAGGCACCAGGCACCCAAGCTGGTGCTTGGGGCGGCACCTGGAGGGGGGCG